GCTACCATCGGTTTAAAAATGAAGAACTGCAGCAATTAGAAACTATAGACGTAATTCTAACAAACGAGTAAGTCTAAATAAATTATATAATAATTCTGAATTAACAAAATATTAACTATGTTTTAAATAGTTTAAAGCAGAGTAATAAAATCGTTAACTCATCTTCATCTAAAGTTACTATACGACGTGAACTTGAAAACCTTTTTTCAGAAAAACAAGCTGATTAGAAAAGACAAGATTTTGTAAAAGCCTGTATTAAGAAAAATATCTATTTAGATAATAATGTAGAATTGAATATGAAAAGGTTACTTGACCAGCTTCAAATATAAATTGTGAAGAATTTTTCTGAATAATATTATCTCGTATTAGTCTAATCCCATATAATCTTTCGATGAAGTTATTGATTGGTTGGGTGCCTACACGTCTGTCTTCGATTGATTTGTTCATTCATTTTGTAAGATTATTTGTAGTCATAGGTTTTACACCTGGGTGATCATTTACAGAAGGCAACCGACCATCATCGATAAAACAATCAATCTATTCTTCAGATAACCAATTAGCAAATATATTATTGCACAAACATTCTTTAGTAATTTCTGAAAGTGGTAGAGTTCTAATAAATAATTCATAAGCATGACCAAGCTCTATAGCTTCCTCTTTACTTCTGCTTCTACCTACAACCTTAAATGCAATAGCAATTGGATATCGATAATGATTAGCAATTCTTAAATCTTTAAGACGTTCCCCAAGTGTTTGCATAATATGAAACCAATATAAAATTAATCCACGAAGAATGGGCTAAAGCCCCCGCTTTGTTGGACAGTGTTTATCAATTATTGCATATAGATGCCACTTTTGTGCACAATGACAAATTCTCATAAATTCTTTACCATTTGTCAATTCTATATACTGATACTCATATGTACAATCAGTACTATTACAAGAAATATTTCATTTTACTGCTTCTACAGCAAGTCTAATTGTATAATTATTTTCTTTATTTGACACCCCAAATGCAATTGGTGTCCTATACTCTGCACAGTCTTCAACAACAAGAGACAATACTGATGCACTATCACTATTCAAGTCGTATTTTCCATCAACTCCAAAGCAAAATAATCTGAAATCACGTGCTTGCTGAAACTACAAATCATTGCTCATAATAATGTTCTGAACTATCTTCATTCGCATTAATGTCTGGCTGTTAATAATACAAAATAACACCCTTTTCTTTTAATACACCAGTTACTAACTTGTGCACTATTGTCCATGGTCCTGTATTTTTTCTTATATGTAAGTTATCTCTCTCAAGAAGTTGGCGAAGTTTGACATCATCACATATGGACCTTTGATTGTTATATAACTTTTGTAGTTCATTTGGTGAAGCACCATTATGAGGTGCAAGAAGCTTCATTTTAACTTCTTTGGTTGTGTTTTTGTTAGCTCGACGATTTAAAATTGCCAAATCACGTGCCTCTCAACTTAGATTAATTCTAGATATTGCTCGTTCATGTATAATATTTTGTAGAACATGATTACCACTAATAATCATATGCATAGGTAAGTCTGTATCTACTTCAGAGAGCATAACTTCAGTAGTTATTCGTACGCTACATTTATGCATATCAAGAGGATTCTTTAGGTTGTAATTAGTGTAATGATTGCATGTTTCGATACATGATCCAATTCCACCGCAAAGCCTTTGACAACCACTTTC